AACGTTCATTTTGGAAACTTGATTTGCAAATAGATCTTGACTTTAACACTTACTTCTACCAAGCCCGCCTATATAATCATTTGAACAATTGATAAAGCGCTCATTAAATACATTTTACAAACAGATTCATAGATCTTGACTTTTAACAATTATCTCGATAAAAGCTATTCAATAATTGATAAATGTTCATCAGTATATTTTACAAACTTGCTTTGGAAGTTTCATATGTCATCATACATCTTGTATTTAACAGTTTACTTTTTTCTGTTTAATTTTATTTTATTTAGATTACACAAATAAAAATCATGGAATAAATTTAATTCAATGAAATAGTTGTTATCCCATAAAAGAATAAATTTCAATTGTTAAAAAAATCAATTAAGCTTTTTTTTTTCTTAATTAAAAGAAAAAGGTCCTTTGCAAAGAAGAACCCTTGCGTGAATCAAAAGCCATTTGTGAATTTTGATTGTAAAAATCTTTCGTCCTAATCTTTTCCTTGTGTTTTTTTTCATCTATCGCTATTGAAGAATATGCTTCATGCAAACATCAAAAGTCATTTACAAATTTTGATTGTTTTAAAAAAATCAACTAAGCTTTTTTTTTTCTTAATCAATTGACATATTTTATTTGTTTTTCCCGAAAGGAAATTTTTTCATTAATCAACGATTTTATTGTTTTCTCCAAATGGTCAAAATCCAAAAAAAAATTTTAAATCAACATGAACAATCAAAAAAATTTGTACATATTGTTTTGTTTATCAATCATTTTTTTTTTAAATTAACAAAATGAAATAAACCATTTTTGAAACCCGGTCTCATGACCAGAAAATATCACTAACATGTTAATGCGACAAGCCTTTGATGATCTGAGGTAAAGGTTCCAAGACAAGACCATCAGTTTTTGGTCATTTTGAACAATCTGAAATGTTGGAGCAAGATGAAGAACTAACAGTAGACAGCAGTCGACACCACACAAAAAAAATCTAAAGTGAAACACGATTTCCTTTTGGTCAAATATCTGTTTCGTTCAACCCTGACATTTTGAACCAAAACAGATAAGTTTTTCAGTTTCACAAATCATGACAAACAGATAACAATTGGGATTCACATGATACGTGATGTAAAATAACCACAAACACTTATCATTTTTTTGGAAACAAAAATATTTCTGTTCAAATTTCAATTTTATTAATTAACAAATTTCAAATCAACTTGCAAATCATTTCAAGCCAGTGCAGCAAAGAAAAAAAAACGACTCATCACAAAGTTTTACCCTTTGATTTTGATCTCATCCTTCCCCAACCCTATAAAAAATAACATACAGTAAAACAGTACATGAACCGTATTGTTTTACAGAATAGGTATGGAAAAAATGTACGGAATCTTCCTGTTAAATGCGCCGAAATGTACGGAATTTGCGCGGGATAGATACGGAGTAGGTGCGGAATACGTACGAAACACGCACGGAATACGCACGGTTTTTACGGAAAACATACGGAATTCGTTTTTCTCGTACGTTTTCCGTATGAATTACGTGATGTGCGAATGTGAAATTCGTGCGGAAAACGTACGGAAAAAACGAATTCCGTATGTTTTCCGTAAAAACCGTGTGTATTCCGTGCGTGTTTCGTACGTATTCCGTACCTACTCAGTATCTATCCCACACAAATTCCGTACATTTCGGCGCATTTAACAGGAAAATTCCCGTACATTTTTCCGTACCTATTCCGTAAAACAATACGGTTCATGTACTGTTTTACTGTACAAATTCCGTACCAAATTTTTTATAGGGATGGATGCTGGCATCATTAATAATAGAATCTTTGATCAAATAGATTTTAGGTTAATTACAAACAATCATATAGTGATCTTACCAGAAAATTTGAACTGGCCAAATTTGAAAAGTTGGTTTTTTTTTGTTATAGTTTAAATCATTAATTTATATGTAAAAAAAGCAATTAATTTTATTGGTAAAGCATGAGATGCTGTTAAAACAATACAATTGTTAATTGTTGAAAAAAAAAAACAGGAATTTTATCAAATTACCAATAAAGAAGCACGGTTGAACAAATTAACACTGATGAAAGAATTGAATCACACTCTCAAATCTTGATGATGATTTAGACATTTTGGAATATATTAATGATGATGATGAAATAATTTCAAACGTTTTAGATGAAACAAACAAGTAAATAATGAACCAAAGTTATTGTGGCTAATGATGATGCTTTGGAAGCAGTCGATCGTTAATTAAATATTTTGAGTGCCAAAATGATTCAGAGTTTGATGAAAATGATTATAAAAATTTAAAGAAATATAAAAATATAGAAAATGATTTTTTTTCAACAAGACAAAACCTTTTTACAATATTCGATATTTTATTCACCGAATTTTTGAAATCATAATAAGAGGAGTTTTATACAGTCACGTTAGTTATAATCACCAAAAACCTCTGGTCCCGAGGGTATATTGTAAAAACATCGAAATTTAAACTGTTAAAGGCTGTAGAAAAAAGCGTCAAAAATTACGTATTTTGGGGGTGGGTGGATGGTGCATCAAAAAATGACATCTTTAAAATTAAATTTTTGGAGCCGCCCCAATTTTAACAGTTTAAAATTCATATTCAATGCTGTTGAAAATAACTAACTAATCAAATCAACGAATTTTCAACACTACATAGTAATAGGGACTTAATTTCAAAATAAATAAATGTTTCACTTTACAAATATTCAGATCATTATTTAATGTCTTTTTTTATTTTGGATTAATATAAGGTTTTCCAAATTTCCAAAAATCGTTATTATTATTGTCCATTATAAGGTTTGTCTATGTTCCGAACTTCCAAATTAAATGACCTCTCGTGTTACAAATCTCACGTGAGACAAATGCTTATTAATATTTTATATATAGGTTTGCTAAAAGATATTTTAAATATAGAAAAAAAGGGACTAACAATTTTTGACATATTATTACCAAAATCGATTTTAAAACCTGTCATTGACATGTTCGTTTTTGCCTCCCAGACAATAATGATGATAATAAATAGAAATGTTTTAGCAAGAAAAACCAGTATTCTACAAGAATTTTTTAATTTCTCTAAAAACATCCCAGCCATTTTGTTTCTATTTTTATGATTTTTTTTAAAAATAGACAAAAACATTGATTTGACATTTTTGTCAAAATTCTATTAAAAAATTAAAGAACTAACTAATATTGAAATTGAAATCCATACATAATAAAATAATAAATTCAATTTCCTTGGTTGATTTTACAAATGTGAAATGCAGATTTTCATTTTTCATTTACATATAATGTGAAATGATATTTATCGTGTAACTTTGTGTTTAATTAATTTGCATTTAAAATAAATAAGGAAAAATAATAGATTAAATTTTTAGGAAACAAAGCCTTTTTTATCAATTGTTTATATTAAAAAAAATTTTTAATTTTTTTTAGTAAAAACAAGTGTAATCATGCGTAAAAGCTATTTTTATTATTTTTATTTTTATTTTTATTAATTATTATTTATATTATTATTATTGTGTTTTTGATATAATATAAAATGTTTTACGATTCATATAAAAAGACGTTAGTTTCGGAATATTTCGGTTTTTTTTCTTTATCGCTTTTTTTCCCTGAAGACAAGTTATTGCTTAAAAGACCAAAATTTTAAAGCAAAGAAAAAAAACAAGCGATTGTTCTGATCTAAATAAGCTAAGCATAAATATATACTATAGCTAAAGGGAAAAAGTGATTATATGATAGATATTTAATCATAGTAGTAGTAGTAATAATAATAATAAGTAATAATAACTATTTTTAGTTTTTAGTTTTTAAAGTGAATGATAGAAATATTGTTTTCAAATAATTAGAATTTGTTTTATTATTGATTTGATTTTTTCAAACCTTTTATTTTGTTTTTGTTTATTTTAATTATTCGAAGAAGACTTTCTATTATTTAATTATTATTTTTGAAAAAAAAGTTATTATTATAAGATTAAAGATTATATAAATTAATATCTATCGTATACAATGTGGATCTTACGTGAACATCGAGTTATATTTCGAAATTTTAAAATTTTTCAATTATTACTGACCATAATAATTTTAAGTTTAGGTAAACTTACAATATGTAATTTACTTGTATTTTTTATTTTTTACATCATCAATATATATATATGCTAATTTATTATATTTATTATATAGAGATAATACAACTTACAGCGCATTCATATTTAACAAAGTTTTCTGATAACAACGTTGTAAATCAAGAATGGTTACAAAGTGATGGGTAAGCAAATAAATGTATTTTGAATTTATTGTTATAAAGAAGTCATGCTAAACAATTCGTAAACCTTAGGTGGAATGCACAAATAAAAATATGGGTTTTCTTTGTATTTGTAATAACCACAATAGGACTTGGTGTGTATAAATAATATTATCGAAAGTGTTGTCAATTATTTATTAATCAATATTAATTTGTTTTGTTTTGTTGAAATTTATAGGATTTTATATTTACAATTTCAAAAGAGTCTGGACAAAAGGACCTTTTCTCTGGATGGATATGTTAGTAGCAGTAAATTCTAATGTTTTTTAATTGTTATTTTCGTGAAATTTTTTTGAAAAAAAAATTCTTAATTTTTATTTGATTTTATTTTGCAGAATATTAACGACATTTTGGCTAACAGCTGGTAAGCTTTTTTATAAAAAAACTTCATCATAATCACAATTTCAATTAATTCATTTTTCTAACTTTATTATCGTTGTTTTCTCCCAGCATTGGCAAATCTTAATCCAGTATTTAAAAATAGTAACATTTTGCAATGTGGAGCTTACGATTCATACAATTTCCATTTGATGTGCCAATCTTGGATATCAAGTATAGTATTTACGTGGATAAATATGATATTGTTCATAATATCGTTAATTGTTTCGTGTCGAGTCAAACAAGAGAAAAGGAAAGGATTGCACTCGTTCAACAAGCCTGCAATCTCTTCAAAACAGAAAAAATTGACATCTAACAGACAATCAGTATTGTTGAAACAAACTTTAGATAATCCGAATAAACCTCAACCTGTGATGTTAGAAACTGGTTTCAAACCTCTAATGCTGCCTATCATGGTTGATAATGAAAGCCAGTCTAATGAAATCGGCAGTGGTGGACATAGTGATAGATCATCAAAAAGAAACAGTATGTTTGATAATGGTGGTTCGAAAAGATATAGTTTACTAAATATTGCCAAGAAAAGATTGAGTGGATAGTGATTAATATATTATTAGACAGGCAATTAATTAGGAACAGTTTTTTTAATAGACTTGATAATTTGTTTTTTTTTGCATATTGAAATATATATGTGTGTATATTGATATTATAAAAATGTTTTCCTTTTGGACTTTTTCAATACATATGTTTCTCTTTTGATGAAAAATTTAATTATTTTCAAAGAAACAAAATTAAGTTTTCATCTATTATTTATTTCTTTTGATAATTACAAAAATTCGGATGTTTCTTTTGTTTTTTACTTATTTTTTTGCATTCAATTCACAGCATATCATATAATTATAATTATAATATATATAAATATTATTTTTACACGTAAATAAATTATTAATATAATGATTTACTTTCTCGAAAAGAATTAATACACATAATTAAAAAAGTTATAAACTAAAATACAATAGCGTCTGTTTTTGAGACATCAATATTTATGATTGGCGAATATTCAAATAGAAATACGGAAGCCAACTCATTTAAACGTTATTAGTATTTACTGCGATATCAAATTGACATGTATTTATTGCATCTTTCCGAGTAATATAGATGAGGATACGACAGTCATACCTGGAGAGTTCCGAGTTAAAATATTGCTCGATTCGAAAATCGATGTTGAAAATTGTAATGATAATAATTTATACAAGAAGTTATAGAACCGTCAAATTTTATGTAATTTTCAAATGGACAGGGAGATTGAAAAAGGGCACTCGACTTCAATCATCGATTGTCCAGGTCGATTTATTTTCTATCCGTTTCTGTTTTAAATTTGCCTTGAAATAGAGGAATAGTAAAGTCCATTTAACTATAGATGTTGATTTACAAAATGATTTTAATTCTGCAGATAAGTGGATTTATTAAGCGGATGTATTAGTATATTTCTACAGAATAATACTTTTATGCTATATAAAAAATTTTTTTTGTATATGGAAGATCGCCGAAGGTTGCATTTCTAAAATCAATCTAAAATTGTATAAAGTAATCATTTTCCGAAAACTGCGTGCATGGGAGCCTCGAATATGTGGATAATTAGTATTATGATCTTTATTGTATAGAAATATAGTTTATTTTAAAATTAGTGTGTTCATTCATTTCATTATCATTAATTGTGTATGTATATATATATATATATATATATATTTATATATTTATATATTTACCCATCTAGAATTTTATTGAAATATAACATATGGTTGCTTGAATAAATAACATGCTGTTTTTGGATTAATCAAACCGAATAATTTTTTTTGTTAATTAAGTTGCAAATATCTTTGATTTTTGAATTCTTCCACTTTTATAAGAAAGCTTTTTCCTTCTTTGGAATTATTAATCTGATATAGTTGGTTAGTCGATCAAAATTATTTTGACTTTACTACGTCAAAAAACATTGCGAAATTTATTAGTTAATCATAACAACTAAACCCTCAATTATTGTGGTTTTGAATAAATTTTTTAATTGTTCCTCAATAACACGAAAAATAGTGTTACTCAAAAGCAAATATCATGTAATATATTCATTGGCATTGTATCTTTAATATTAGTAATTGATCTAATCGAGCATCTTTGCATGAAAGTTCCGTTAAGAGAAATATATATTCTATAATACCTGTGGATTTTATATAAAAAATTTTGTATTTTACGTTTAACCTTCGGTTTTTCTAATATTATAATAACTTGCCCTGGAAGTAATAAATACAGTAAAATTAATATATTTTTTAATTTTGGATAAATTTATTTAAATTTTTCAATTACATCCAAATAAGGTCACACCACCTTTTCCCCACTTTTGTTTGTCCTTAAGGTAAATTAATTTTAAATAATATGTTCGAAATTAGTAAATCAGTCTAATCTCTAATGATATTTTTTCCCGTTCTGATTGAAGAGTTGTTTGGTCAATGGTAATTTGATATATTTTATAGGTTTCTACAATTCCTTCTTGGCACAATATCAACCAATATTGGGGTTAATCAAACATTTATAATAATTATATTTTGAAGATTTTTTTTTTATATGAATTCAAGCCTGTTTGATAAATTTTTTGTCCTCGTGTAACGGAAAATCTGTAAAAAAATAATTCTAGAAGTCACGTTTTAGTATATATAATAAAAAGGTTAGTCATACCATCGTCATCATTATATCATAATCGAAAATATTACGTAGAAGAAAAATATTATTATGTAAGTAAAACTGTAGTAATATGATTATTATTA